CAGTGACGTCAGCATTCAAACATCATATCCATACAGGCCGGGAGCTAAGCATCGCTGGGACTATGTGCACAGTTTCAACATGGGAGAGCTAGGACTACTTGCACTAATGCTGTGCAGTGGGTGGTTTTTCAAAGTGGTATGATTTGAAATCTCTAAGGTCTTAATCTATATTTTCATCCTCTCTGAGCCTTACACACTGTCTTGTAATCCTTCAGTATTTGTAGCTGGTATAACTAATGGTTTGATTGGTGTGTAGGCTATGCTGGTACTGTATTGTGGTTTTGGAGATGTTCCTGAGGAACACTGGTAAAGATGTTTTCAGATGTCCTTTCTGTCGCTGTGGGAAAAAAATCCAAGATTTCATAGCCTTGATATATTATGAACGTTTTTTCCCCCCTATCAGATTTGTCGAATAGATTCTGAGTGGAAAATGAGCAGTGAAGTTAACTGTCAAAACTGTTTCTTGGTCAGATAGGCACATAGGAAAGCCGTTTTCTGTGTGACCTACACCATAGGTACACAGTACAGTATAATGATAAAACATTATTGTAGATTTTTTTTGACCAGCGGCAATAAAAGGTTTTATTTTCTTTCTGAACTCCCCCTGTTGTTAATGTGTAACCGCACACCCACAATAGAGTTGAAACCGAGGAGAAGGTCTGGAAGCAGTTGCCCATCTGTTTAAAGTCCATCACTACTTAATCGAAGCCACTTTCGCTTGTGCTCCCTTGGGCTAAGAGCGTAGTCTTCTGGGGGGAAAAGGCTTGTGAACTTTGTGAACAAAAAGCTTTTGCTTTTTTGTGGAAAAAACGTGAGTTCACAAGGTATTCTTTGCACAGCAGTCGCCCGCTATATGAGCAGCCATTGAATGAGTTTTCGCTGCTGTGAGATGTAGTAATTCCTACTCAGTTTTTTTTCCCCATTTCACGAGCGAGTTTTCTCTCTGACAAGATGGGCTGTGTTCGAGCTTTGCCGAGGTTCTTTTCTCGCATCCTCTCAGATGAGCGGTTTGAAGTTGAATTTCGTTTTTTATGATGTCGCTTTACAAATGTTAACCTTACGAGCAGATTTTCACGGAGAATTTGTTTATAATTTGAGGGATGGGTGTAATTGGAATATTCCCTTTCGTACTGACTGCTGCCTGATATTTGCATAGCAAAGCCTGGTTTTTAAAGAGATTTGTTTTAAGCCACCCTTAAAACTTTAAAATGGATTAATTATTTATTTTCAAACGCCCCATTGAACAATATAGCTTGGCTGTCTGCATCCGTTAGCTTTCTTCCCCTGCATTTTGCCACCTGAAGAGAAGCCATTTTTGAACATTTGAAATGATTAAACGGAACAGGGTCCAGTTTACAGGAAGGAGTAAAATCTTAGGATCTGGCATTGTTGCTGAATGAGCCGAGTTTAAAGGGACTACTGAAACGACAGGTTAGAAAACAAAGCTGCAGTGGAAATTCATAATTTAGCATTCAAGACTGGGCAAACACCAGGCAGAAGAACACAGGCTGGGAGGTTTGACATGCAGCTGTAGCAGAAACAAACTAGAGATGTACAATGGGAAACGCTGAGATTGAAGGAGCTGACGAGGAGACGCTGGTTCATGAGGACACACCTTTTCATCTTCTTAGACCACGTTGTAGAACAATTAAAGAGCACACATCTTTGCCTGCATAATTAAAAGTGTAGAATATAAATAAAGGCATTGCTAAGTCTACAACTTAGTCTCTCCTCAATGGACAGATTTCACAGCAGCAAGAATGTTCCTGTGCTCAAACTCAGTGTTCTCCCCTGTCAAGCTGAGAGCTTTATCTTCTTAGTCTTGAACTGAGAAGACTGCTGATGGAAGTTGTGACATCCTCAGATACTAACAGTCCATCATCCAGTGAGCTTCCAGATCAACAGTGAAACAGGAGTGAGTAAAAGGCACTTTACACAAGGAGTTGTGGGAGTTGGAAACTGCCACAAGTCAGTACTGTGTTGAAAGAAGCCAGATTGCTGGATGAGATACCTCATTTGCAAACATCTTCTGTAAGTGGATTGCTGATCCATTTGGTATTCCAGATAAAAATAACCGGTTGATGGAATTTTTGGGAATTGTGCATTATGTATTGTGCCATTGCCGATAGATGTGAGTATCTCGCAGCTCTTGTTGCACAGTGCCGAGCATAAAAACAGAAGGAAGTTTTAAAGGAATAAGATGGGCAGTCTAAACAAAAACAGTTTAGTTTAAGAACTAGGTGATGTTGAGGAAGCAGGCTCCCCGAGGTCCTTTAAGAAAAGCTCGCTGAATTCTTGGGTCAGTGAGCTACAAGCACAGCAACCAAGCCAATAGCTTTTGCCTCTTTCTTTGTAGTGTGTATGTTGGTTCTTCTCCAGATGTGTTGGTACAGGGCTCCATTGGAGTCTCGTCAGGGGCCAAGACTGCACTGCTTTTGGCTCTAGCAGAAGCCGACTCTGAACTGCGGCGGTCACAGGTTGGGGAAAAAGAAAATTTGGGTTTGAGCTATAACGCTTGTACATTGCAGTATGTTTGCTCAAATGCTAGTTCAGTGCGTAGCTGCTGTAATTTGTTTTGAATGTTCGAAAAGGGATCTTGACTTGATCCTGGCAGGCGAGTCGCAGTTTTGCCTTAAGATCCTGCAACTCGGTAACTGGAAACTGCATATAAATGTTTCTTCCCACAACAAGGTAATGCATTTGCTAAATAAAAGCACAGCCTTTTCTTTGGCCAGTGGTTTCCTGGTCAAACCCCAGTTTAGATGGATTCTTTCAGTCCCATCAAAGCATCCAGTTTTCATTTGTTCCAAACCTGCGGTGCAGTAATTGATATTTAAACTTTTGGGTCATTAGTTCTGGGGAAGGATATGCAGACATTTTTAAAAATGTATCCAAAAAGAAAGTCTGTGCTTGTCAGATTTTATATCTGACCAGAAATGTAAAGTATAGTAATTAAAACCAGGTTTGCACTACTGTCGGACTAGGGAGCTCTGCTTGTTGGATCTTGTATAGACAGAATGCTGATTGGTTCTATCTGGGAAGTTGCAATGCCTCTAGTGTAAGTTGTGGTTATACCGATTTATTAGTTTTTGCAAAACAAAGATCTGAATGAACAGAGCTTTTCAGAATGCAAATTGCACCGTAAAGGTGATGTTTGAAATTCCTAATTGATCTTTTTCTCATATCTGCTCTATAATGGAATTACTACTGTTGCACAGTTCCTGTGGAGCGTGCTGTCTTCTCACACATCTGTCTGTCTGAGCAGTTTGACAAGCTGACTGCTTCACTTGGCCTTACAGGAGAGTTGACTCTGATTGGAGGAGCAATGCTTTTTCGTGGTGATGTCACTGCCGGCATGCAGGTGTGCACAGACTCGGCAAAGTCACTGTGTTTAGCCAGCTGTGCACCACTGCCTGGGTAATTCTAGTCACAATTGGCTCATGACATAGGCCAGGCTGGCACCAGTGCTGTCTTCAATAGCTTGAGCTGTTTGGTAACCCGGTGGTAACCTTTTAATTGAATTTTTCCCCCCAAAATAAATTCCATTTGAACCTTTTTTTTTTCTGATGGTGGTGTGTGTGAAGTCTCGGCTTATGGCTCTGACTGTGCAGTATGGTGCCTATGAGGACCTGTTCCCTGGGGTCCAGTCACATGTGGTTTGTGCTGTTACCCAGCTTTGAACCTGTGCTCTCAGGGCTCTGTAGGACAAGTTCATTCACTGATCGAACCGTCTAAAAAGTCCTAGTTCTGTGTTTTCTTGGCCCAGTGTTACCAGTATCGCCTAGGATGGGTCTGTAGTTTTAGTATCCTATCCACATGTAATAAAAGGCAAAACTGATTTTACTTGAAAGTCTATTTCCAGCCTACGAGCCATGATGGTGTGGACATTGGTTTCTAACATTAGAACTGTAAAGGAAATGGTCTGCTTGATTCAGTATCGTTTTAACCTTTTTTTGCACGGGTTTTCTCCTTCTTTTCCAGGTGGCGTTGATGGGTATAGATATCGTTAGTGCATTCGTGGATCGGCTCTCGGAACGCTTTAAAGGGTACATAGGAACTGGTAAGTCCATTCTTCATCTTCCCCGAACCAGTTAATCCACAGGGCCAAGATGTGCTGGCTGTGGCGGTGGGGTTCAGTTGTTCGGGGTTTTCTTTGAGAACGTTTAAAAAGCTCTTGTAAAAAGGGCCTCTTCTGCTCCAGTCTTGATGGGGGAGGGGATGATGGCTATCTGGGACAAGAGCCAGGGGGCTGGTGATACTCGTGTGTTCCTGAGAACACTTCAACAGCAGGTAACACCTGCGTTCTGAGGATTTCAGCGATTACATCTTGCCAGCCCACACCAGTGTGGTTGAAGGCCAGTTCCTTGGATTGTTCTTTCTTCTAAGGCCTTTTTAAAGCAGTTGTATATGGGGGAGATCTGATGACAGCAGTTTTAGGCAGGACCTATACTACCTATACTAAGCGGATATTCTCAGCACTGGAGTGACTAGAGAAGCCCGTTTGAATTCTGCACCTCCTGTCTCTCTGCTCCCCACACCCACACAGTAGTACGAGTTGTGCGGGTGGCTTGATGTGATGTTTTTTTGCTGATGCACTTTAGTTTTTCTAATAGAACCTGGGGGGAAAAAAAACGAAACCGAATTGATCCATGAAGTTACAGCAGTCTCGCGGTCATTGGTTTAGCCATCCGCCGAAATGTGGCGTCGCTGCCTGCCTTTTGTCCGGGCGGGGGGGGGCAGAGATCTGAGCTGCCTGCCCTGGAGGTGGCAGCACAGTGCTCAAACGACTGAGCCACCTGGCCCCATCTCATCGGCACTCAAGTGTGTGGGAACGGCCCCAGCCGAGAAGAGGACATGTGGCCTGTTGTGCTCGTCCAACCCTCTTGCTGCAATCCCACAGGCAGTGCTGCTGTGAGGAACCCTGAGCAAACGCAGAGCCTGCAGACTCTGCACAGACAAGTGAGAGCTGAGCCCAGGATGCCGGATCTGTGATTCTCTAGTGTTTATGAATTATTCAATATCTTCTTACCTTTTACAGTGGTGCACTATAAGTGTTTCACTACTAGTAAAATAATTCCGTACATTTCTATAGCGCTTTTCTGGACACCTCGCTCAAAGCACTTTACAGGTAATGGGGATCCCCACCACCACCGCCAGTGTGCAGCCCTCATGTAGATGATGCACCAGGACACTCCCCACACACCAGCTCTCAGTGGGGAGGAGAGCAGTGATGAAGTCAATTGACAGATGGGGATTTTTTTTAGAAGGCAATGACCGGAGAGTCAGGACCTTGGTTTTACTTCTCATCCAAAGGTCAGCATCTATTTACAGTCTAGTGTCCCCGTCACTATACTGGGGCATTAGAACCCACACAGACAGCAGGGTGAGCGCCCCCTGCTGGCCCCACTAACACCTCTTCCAGCAGCAGCCTCAGCTTTCCCAGGAGGTCTCCCACCCAGGGACTGACCAGGCTCACAGCTGCTGAGCTCCAGTGGGCTGCCACTTGTGAGCTGCAGGGGGGATCTCGCTGCTGGCCAGTTATACTGTTGTCCTGACAGTTTGCACCACATGAAACAATGATCGCCGGCTCCGCAGTGCTACTTTCTACAACTGATATTTCGGGGTTAGAAAGAATCAGCACTGATGAGTGCATTTCAAACCGCAATGAGAGTTAAATCAACACAGTGACGTGCGACAGCGTTGCTACCATCCCGTACTGTCACAGGGTTCACGATTTTGACCTCCATCTGGAATTTCTCAAACGGTTTGGCGCCATCAATTGATTTATTTTCTTACCGATATTCAGTAACCGGTCTGAGAAATTGGAACTGCAGTGTCGCTTTAATTAGTCCATCTGCCTCATGAGAGGGAGGTAGCAGAGATCTCGATCAATATTATTGCCCTTCTGCCCTGCCCTGCCCTGCAGACCGGTGTGATGGATAAGCAGAAGGTGAAGTGAGCAAGCAGGGCTATAATTAGCTTCTTTGTTGCTCGTCCTGCATCTGTCAGCTAGATCCCCTGCTCAGTCAGACTGGGTGTGCTCACGGAAGTGCTGTGGGTTGTCATCGACACCCGACCGCAGCAGAAAGACGAGAAGATCTGATGTTCTAACCCCCTTCTTAGCAGAGTTAAACACGCTTGCAGGATGTGGAAAACTACCGCCTGCCCTCGGGTCTGATGTGGCGTGCGTGATGCAATCACAGTCATGTTCTCTCTTTCTTCAGGCTTTTGAAAGTCGCGTTCGATCGTTTGATTAAACGCCTGGGGGGGTGCCTCAGCTTTCTTTATCATCTTGTGCCTGTCAGTGCAGAAAGCCTGCGCTGATCTCTGAAGTGACCACTTGAGATCACTTGAGGTGTTGTCTGTGGAAAGACCGTTGAGCTCAGATGCATGTGCATTGCAGAAGGGCAAAAACAAAAAGGCTTCCAAGCTCTCGCTGTTTGGATTAATTCAGAGTGACGCCATTCAGTTAGACAGTGGCATTAAGCTAGGGCCTAGATCCCCTCGTTTCCCATCTCTCCTGAATTATCTGTCTCTGTTCGCGAAATGGGCTTTGCATGATAGCCACCCAGCGGAATGTCCTGTAAGTCCCCACGATTCTTAGAATGGCCATTAATGTGCACGTTCTGTCACACACGGGCCTGTGAGCTTTTATTCTTTCCTAGCCCGCGCTGAATGTCACACCCATACTGCCGTTAGAATACCTGCACCCAGCGTGACTGCAGGGGCTGCCCCTGCAAGTGAAAACCAGGCTTTTACAGGCCTGATGCTCTATTCGGACTGCGGCGGATGTTGGAATGAAGCACTTAATCCACAATGGCTTCTTCTGTGCTCAGCCTGCACTGTGTGTTCTAACCTGGCTGCCCAGCACTGAGCTGTTAAAACTGTGGGCCCTCTCCATGGGCAGCATCAAAGCGCAGGCCACATGGCTCGTTTGCAGGATGGGGTACGGTGGCTGTTGGCATCTAGATTCAGGATCTTTTATTTGCCGTATACAACGAGTGTAATGGAATGCTTACTCGGTCAGCTGTACCCAGTAACAGTAGAGGAAAAAATAGGCAGAACCAACAAACAGACGTGGACATTAAGTTTAGACAATAGCCGTTGTAATACAGCCAAGACAGGACATAACGCAAAACCGTGCAGCACCTTAAAATGCAGGCTCAGAGAGCTGTGCTCGTCCAGCTTCACTCTGAGGCTTGAGACAGCTTTCACACGTAGGCAGCTTTTATTGCTTCGGGCAGAGACCACACAGGCTGCTCGTCTTTGCCTTTACAGCAGACGCGCTGGCGAAGACGAATGTGAATCAACGTAATTCGTCACTGGAAGAAGCCATGGTTAACTCCGCGCTAAAAAGCAGAAGAGAAGCAGTCTCTGCTCTTGAGCTTCCTTCAGCTGGGAACACTGGCATTGCTCCCCACTCAGACAATTTGTCAGAGAGCGACATCAGTTCACCTCCTGCAAAAGATTGCAATGTTTCTGATTTTTTTTTTTAATGCTCAGTATGAAGACAGGTAATGGTATACATAAATTCTGTGTACTGACTATCTTTCAGTATAATTGTGCACTGCATGTGGTAGTAATACACAAGCTTTTTTTGAAATGGCCATGTTTTTCATTGTTAGACCACTTTTCATATCTAGGGTGATGCTGGTTTTCCTGTTCAGAATTTTACCTTTAAAATCATATAGATGTCCCCAGGATTTTATCCAGATTTCCGAAGTGTTCGAGGTTTATCGGAATCGGTCAGGTGTTTCCCAAGGCTGTCACAGCAGCGTAAAGCCGGCTCCGGTTGTAATATTCCCACCTTATTGTCGAGTGGTTACTGCCCAGTAGGGCCTGCTGGCCTCTGCTCCTTCTGGACTCCCACTGGAGAACACCCTCTTATGTCTAAAACAGAGAAGATGGCCTCTTTGGAAGTAAGTAATCGCACAACCGCAGGTATCTGCATTATTTAAGAAGAAGACAATCGTTGTAAAACTTGGCACCACTTTTGTGATGGCTCAGCAAAAATCTGCATCTCGCTGCATCTAGTAAAACCTTCAATAATCTTCGATCGGTAGTGGTACGTTTCACTATGACTTGCAGAGAAATTGGTTTTCCCCTTTTTTTTTAGAGAGGTGTTTTTCTGCAAAACCCCTCCCATCTCTCTCTTTTGCTATTAAAACACCGCAGTGTGCTTGCTGTCCTCGGAAACAGGCCGTTATTGGCAGCCGTCCCGAGCCTCAGCCTGTCCTGCATTCCCCTCTCTCCCTGTGAGCACACGGGGGTGATTGTGGAGGAGTGCCGGCCTGAACCGAGCTCCGTGCTCCTGGCTCCTCGGTCTCATGCCCAGCAGTCCAGGGGTTTTGAGATCTGCTGCTCGAGGTGGCTTGAGCAGGCGTCCCGTCCTGTGCGCTTGCGTTACCATCCAGCCCCACGTCTGGGCTTCCTTGGGAAAAGGGGACCTGGAACAGGAATAAATCCGGTCTCGGATATGTATTGTACGCTTTATCTACCTCTACCATTCATGTCAAAAGCTCACTCCCCATCATTTCTATCCCTTTATTTTATTCTGTTGATGCATATTTTTGCACATAACGTGTTACCTTTTTGTTGTTTTGCACATTGCCTGTTGTTGTTTTTTTTGCACACTGCCTATTGTCTCTGTCTTTTTTGATACACAATTGTATTGTTGTTGTTGTTTTCTCTTTGTACTACTTATGTCCGAGAGCTAGCTAAATAGCATTTCGTTATACCATATACCATGTGTATGAGTGTAATGACAATAAACTTGAACTTTATAGTGTCATACGTGGTCGGGCTTGCAGTACCACAAAAATGTGAGGAAAAAAATAATCTTTTTTGGCCTTGTCTTGGTCCGTTTCCTTGGAATAGTGCATTTGTGTTGTGAAGGAGAACGTCGCCTCTCCGTTCGGCCTCGCCCTGCATTCCACGCCCTTTCCAGTTCTTTAGGGTCTCGTGTTTTCTGTAGGGAAAAAATAGGATGTGAGCCGCGCTTTGAGAAATCCTCCCCGGGTTTTCTCCCCGAGAAGCCTGTAGAAGAAGCTGGAAAAGAACGTCATGACCCGAAACATTTAAAGGGCTCCGTCTAGCTGTGGGTAGTGGTGAAGAAAGGTTGTTTTTTTTTATTTGTGCCGCCAAAAGGCCACGTCGTGCTGCGATCCTGAAAAACAAACTCTTGTCGGCGAATGACGAAGTAACCGCCTTGCTGGGTTTAAATATCTCTTGAGGCGCATTTGTTTCCTGAGTTCGTTGGCCGACGAGGGTAAAGTCGCTGTGGTGCAGAATGGCGGGGTTTAGTTCTCTGTTCTAACCTTTTCTGAAAAAGGAAATGTGCTGTTTTCTGACATGAGTGTTTTCTTCCCTGATTTGGCTTTTTTTTTCGCGAGCTTTTCAAGGCCTGTTGGGTTTTCCAGACTGGAGTTGCGCTGACCTCGACGTGAGACGGGACATTTTGGTTTAGGACATGAAAGATATAGTTTGAAGACCGTGGGGGTAAAATCCGCTGTTGTATCCCTGCTATCCAGGTCTTATCCATATCCCGATAAGGCTTCCCTCTTAAGCTCCTTACTGGAATGATGAGAAGCAGTTAGACACAAAGGCTATCTCATTGAGATTTATACTTGAAAGCTACTTCCAAGTATAGTAGTACTTGTTGCGTTTCTTATTTATGGCAGAAGTTTGTGACTTCTGTTAATTGGAGTGAATAGAAAATGTAAGGGTTGTAAACATTTCAGATTTTTAAACATTTTATTCAGTAACTTTATTACAGTAAGGGTACACTAGGATTGTACACAAGGATGTCCACTAGGTGTCACTATATAATAAGGCTTCTTGGAGGCATTTAAATAATTTCCATTATCTTAATATGGAGAGTTGCACCTTCCTGGCTATATAACCAGTAAAGTGGGATCTTTACTGAATCCGCCAGGTGCCGGTATTAATAATACTGTTGTGTGGGCACATGGGTTGCTATTGTGTGTAGTTACTCTGGAACAACAAAATGTAGAATTGAAAGTCTTGAAATGCTGTAGGGAAGTTTTAGGAGCATTAGCTATATATAGTTCTGTTTCTGGAAACTGAGATGACAATTTTCAGTTTTCAGAGCTGTCTAGTGAACAGCCAAAGCACTCTTATGGGTACTCATTAAAACGACCTTGAAGCTCAGGAGTGACCTACAGTAGTGTTGCATTTCATTCTAGTGTTTTCTTTCTGTCAAGAGCTGCCGTCGTGAAGGCAGACTGAGTGAATGAACTTTTGACTCACGGGATGTTTGTTTTGACTTGGAAAATTCCATTTCAAGGGCTATTTTTAGCCACCCGGTCTTAGTTTTTGCATGAAACCTCGCTTTGAATTCCTGAGGTAGAAGATCAGTGCGTTTTTTTTCCGTCTTTTCCTGCATACCTCCAATGTTGAACTCACTGGAGCACTGATTTCCTAATCTCCTTGCCCCCACACCCCACTGTGTTTACAGGGCTTAAAGACAGATTTCATGTAGTCTTAGCTTTCTCATGAAACCACATGCCTGTCAGGGAAGAGGTGATGCCGATTAGTGGATCAGCAGGTGGTGTTCGTCCTACTGAACCCCGAGCTCCGGGCCAGGATTCCAGAGCACAGGTGCAGTGCGTGTCGGAGAGCAGGTTGTGCCGACAGCTGGATGTTTTAAGAGGGATACAGATCGCTCATCACATAATCCCACCAGTGTGAGCATCTGTCCTCAAGCATGGTCTTCCATATAAGGAATAATCAAATGTGTGTGTAATTGTTTGCCTTCAGTCTCCTATTGGAAAGCCAAAGTACCTTGAGGAACTTCATTGATTCCAAATCGCCCACAGTTAGTGACCTTTAGTGGGTGAAGGTGTACTTTTCTAATAAAACTGGGGCTTGCCATAATTCACCCCACCGGCCCCTTAGGGTAATTTTGACCGAGCGTGCTGCTCCTTTCAGACTGGCTGCCCTGTTCCTGCCTGCAGGTGACTACACTTGAATCGAGAGTGGGCGTTATCGTGGAGCGCTTCGGAACTGGAAGTGAAATAAACGTGCCCCAGATTAATACAGTACACTGCGAAATTTCCGGAAGGGGCTTTCATTTTCATTTGATTTTTTTTTTTCCCCCTTCTAGTTGTCCCTGCCCTGATTGACAGACTAGGTGATTCCAAAGACCAAGTTCGAGAGCAGTCTCAGAACCTCATCCTCAAACTGATGGACCAGGCTGCCCCAGTCATGGTAAGTGCTCTGGGCTCTCTCTGAGCTGCGCCGGGTTTTCCTCTTGCCAGGCACAGTTTAAATGACGTGAACGAAACGCGTACCCGGTTTCGTCCAGCTCGTCCGTTGCAAAGTAAATTGTGGAGGGGGGTTTGGCAAAAAGCAAATTGAAGGTGGTTGGCCTTTTTTGGTGTCTTTCTGTTATTTATTGGAGCGGGTAACTGTGGACATGTGCACCTTTTAGGCTTTGACAGGAATCCTTTTAGTTACCATTTCAGTTATGTCATCTAGTTTTAAAATCGCGTTTACATGCGATCCAGACACCCTGTGTGCTGTTGGGGACATTCCACTTCACAGTCACAGTGGGTCAACTTGCAACGCCCTTCAGGGATAAATTAGAACCAGGTGATGACTATGCTGATTTTCTGTAAATCCTGGCAACAGTTTTAATGTATTTAATCTGCACACTCATTGCATATGTACATATACCCAAAATAAATGCAGTCATGTGTGTATATATGCATAATAAAGTTTAAAACTTCCTTTAAATCAAACCTCATGAATTTAAATGAAGTTACAAAAATGGGCGAGAGAAGAATTAAAATATGAACAAGATGCACATCACGGTAAGTTATCAAAAGGGGAATGTCAAGCCCTGTCCAAATAAGAAAGGGCAGAAAAGCGGTACCACATACGAGCCCTGAACACGAACAATCTGGTTTGCGCGGAGACAAACGTCTGGTCGCGCTCTGGACAGGCTGCTGTGGTGTTTTCCTCCACGCTTCCTCTGCAGCTGCTCAAGGCCGGCTGGTCCCACTTCTCCTGCCGATCATCCATTGGCAGTGTGCTCCCACTGGCGTTGCACTTGGGTCAGAAGAATCTGGCCACGAGGACTGTTTCCTGGACGTAATAATAATAATAATAAT